TGTGGGCTGTGAAATCAAACAATAAGCTATTCTACATCCCAGGAGAGAAATCACTGGTCTAGAAATTGGTGCATAAGTCAGTCATCTCTCCCATGCTTAGCAATGGGACACATGCTGGGATTTGTTTAGTGGCACAGAGGCCAGAGCTGTGGACAGAGTTATGTGCAAGCATGTGCATGACACGGGGGAAAACCCGCCTGCCAGTGCACCCATTTTTAAGTGAATCCCGTCTCATGCCTTCCCTTTAAATCCCAAGTCTTCCAGGATTCTAGATAGCTGAGAGCCCAAGGCTCAGCATAGCTTTCCCCTAGGTTATTCCTTATCTCTGGGGCAGCCAGGCTCCAAGTGAGAGAGAATATTTGCCACGCACTGCATAGTGCCTGGAACGTGGGACGATATTGGATAACCGTGGCCAGCACTTGCAAGGCAATGCCCACTGGCTTTTCTATCCCTTCACTGTGACCTGCATGCAGAGATCTCCACGAGGCCTCTGCCTGCCTCTCCAGAAAGCTGCCAGGTCCTGAGTTGAAGGAGCTAACACCACAATTGGCTGGAGGCCGGCAGTAAAGAAAGGAAGACCACCTGGTGACTTACAGTCATGCTACTGCCTAAGGGCTGATGTGATGGGGGAAGACGGCCAACTCAAACACAAGGAGTGTCCAAACCACAAGAATCCCATTAGTTTTTGTGTGCCGAATCCGTCTGCTGGATGACAACCCGGTGGAAAGAAGGAACGAATTTAGGTTGTAAGTCAGTTGGTTAATTGTAGCCCTAAATATCACTGGATATAAGAATGACTCTTTATAAATAATCCTGTCATGTGAAAGAAGTATATTATTTGTAAAAACAAAGATGAAACAATTACAACAATAGAAACCACAGAGCTGATTATCCATCATCTCTCACCTTACCAAAGGAAAGGGGCAAAAACAAGGGGATTCTTCCAAAATATACCTCCCCTGGTTCTTTCAAAATTTGGTTTCCTAAAGGTTTCATTTATAAGAAACGATTGAAGACTCATCTATCAGGTAAATCGAGCTATGCATATTAGTTATCCATTGCTGCATAACAAGTCACCCCAAATTTTAGCAGGTGAAAACAATAAACGTTTATTATTTCATAGTTTCTGTGGGTCAAGAATCTGGGAGTGTTTTGATGGGGCAGGTCCTCTCATGAGGCTACATTCAAGCTGTTCTGTCTCTGAAGTGTGACTGGTTCTGGAGGATCCTCCTCTGAGCTCATTCACGTGGCTGTTGATGGCACAATCAACATCCCCACGGAGGCTTCAGTTCTTGGCCACGTGAGCTTCTCCAGAGCTTCACTCACAACACGGTTTCCCCCAAATGAGTGACCCAAGAGAAAGAGACAGCACAAGGGAGCATCCAACATGGAAGCTGCAGGCCATGGAAGTGGCAGACCATCACCTCTGCCATACACTATTGACCACAGAGATCAACGTGCAAGCGACTACATAGGGATGTGAATACCACCTGGAGACGGGACTCATTGGGGCAATGTGACATCTGGTTACTACACTATCCCAATTGTTCTACATACATGTTTGGTCTACAGACAGGGAGTTCATCTGTCTAGAACACTGTGAGAACAAAAGGAAGATTTGAGATGGGATGAACTAGTTGGTATCCATGATATAGAGTGAACTTAGCTGGAAGCCCTGCTACCTCACACACTGCGTCACTAGTCACAGAGGAGATGGGACGGGATGAACGCAAACTCAAGAACCATGTCTTCTAACGGTAAATTTATTGTGCCATGTTTGCATAGAAAGCGAACTCATTTTATCCTGGTGGAGGATAAACTCATTTTATCCTGGTAGAGGACCAAGAACCATGTCTTCTAATGGTAAATTTATTGTGCCATGTTTGCATAGAAAGCAAACTCATAATTAAGCAAGCAGTTTATAATGTGTTTGAGAGGCAAGATGACATAAATAAAGGACACTCTGCATTATTAATTAGCAGCACTCATTTCATGGGTGTTATTTAATGCTGTGTAACATCAGGCAAATCACTTAACCTCTTTGGACTTATCAACTAAAAAGTAAAGGTGTCACATTAGGTTATTTCTAATAATACTACTACTTCTAAAAATGCTTATTTGTTGATATTCTGATTATAAGAGAAAATTCCCAGTAAGATTCAGAGGATAATTATCTGCATAATTATCTTACTCCAGTAAGAGAAGTGTCTCACAAATGGGCCTGCAGTGTGAGTGAGGGCTAAGATAAGACATTTGAAATAGAACAAGGACAGCATTCGCTCATGACAAACTGCCGTGTGTTGGGCCCCTGGGATTGAGGGCAGTGGATGAGCACTGTGGAAAGTCCTTGTTTAGGGGACAAGAGAGGGGGTGACCTCAACGTGTGGTTTTTATAGATCATGTCTATAGGTCATGACCGTGTCATTCCACAGGCCTCTGTGTACACACTTTTAATAACTTTACTGACGTACCGTTTACCATAAAATTCACCTGTTGTATATTAACGTGTAAAAGTTTGTGATTTTTAGTAAATTTAGAGTTGTGCAATCATCACCATGATCTAATTCCCATCATCCCCAGAAGATCCTTTATGTTCGTTTGTAGCTGCTTGTTCTTCTAACTCCCAGTCTCAGCAACCTCTAATACGCCTTCTGTTGGGGCGGAGGGGGGGCAAGGGCAACATACGTAACCTAAACATCTGTACCCCCATAATATGCTGAAATAAAAAAAAAAATACGCCTTCTGTCTCTGTAAGTTTGCCTTTTCTGGAAATTTCATATAAATAGAGCCATTCCATTTTGCATCTGGTTTCTCTTATATAGCAAAAGGTTTTTCAGGTGTGTCATGGTTAGTGTGTATCAGCAGTTGGTTCTTTTTATTTACAAATAATATTTCATTGTATGAATATGTCACATTTGGTTAATCTCATCATCAGTTGATGGACAGTTGGGTTGTCCACTTTAGGGCTATTCTGAATAAGGGTGCTATGGACTTCTGTGCACAAATCTTTGTGGACCTATGTCTTCATTTCTCTTGGGCATATACATAGTGGTGGAGTTGCTGGAACAAATGGTTTAAACTCCTATGCTTAACTTGTCAAAAACCTACTTTCCAAACTGTTTTCCAGAGTGGCTGAAACATCTTGCATTCCCAGTAGCAACGTCTGCAGGTTCATATTTCTCCACATCCTCAACAACACTTGTAATTGTCTGTGTTTTTTGTCATATCCACAGGCTTCGATGGGCAGTGGCCGAGTATAAACAGGGGAGTCCCCTATGGTCAGGGGGATCAGAGCGCCAGAAGATTCTATGCCTATCTGACAAAATTTGGGGAGGGGACACTGAAACACTTGTTTTCTGGGCTAAATTTTTCCTGACTGTGTAAAAAGCGATCCGAACTTAGTTGCATAAAGGGACATATGCTATTCGTCTTAATTACCAAGGCAATCATTTTGTTGTGCAAATACCACCTGCGTTATAGCTAACTAGACCTCGGATATAGAGGTAACGTATTGCAGAATGTGGTCAAAGGTATTTTATATTGATCTAACATTTTACTTGTGAAAAAAACATACTTCCGGCAAGAAAAATCCTGTGCATTTTATTCAGGCAAAATCCTCTATCGTTTTCCTCTAGAGTTAGTTTAAAGGACATCTAAGACTTTGTATAGCCTTATACAAATATAAATATTAAAAAATTCAATATTATGTGCACTGTGATTCTCGGAAGCTACATTATGTACTAAGTATAGTGGTGTGCAGTCAAAATGTGCCGAAGAATCTGTCCTAAGAATAAATTTACTTTCTTTGGGGGACTAAAATGATACGAAATAATGACTTAATGTTGTAATAAAATGTTGTCAATTTTATTAAAAGCCGATTCATGATTTCTTCACATAGTTAAGTAAGTTTCTTTCTTGTTTTTTGTTAAAGTCCATTTCATTGTATTATATCATGAGAGTCAGTTGGCCCAGCGAGACCATTACGGATGAAACATGTACAAAGTTAGCACCACACTTCTGCAAATGCAGATAGCCACAATGACGCCCAATATGTACACGCTCCCTTTACACAACCACACATATATTTACAGCTAATAAATAAAATTTAAAGCCAAAGCATCATTGATATATATATATATATAGCCAAGTCTTTAGAAGCCAGAGTTCCCAGTGCCATGTGCTGATTTGGTGAATTTTTAAGTGAATGTACCCTAGGTCAAAACCCAAATCCAGAAAAGTAATGAGCTAGCAATAAAAGGGGATGCCAACAACAAATCTTACATCATTTTATTTTCGGGAGAATTCATTCCAAGGCTGATGGAGTCAGTCACAACACTGGTCCTACATTATATACGCACAACCGTATTTCTCAGATTAAAGGGCTGAAGTTCTGGCACATCTGGAACCATTTCTACTCCAACATGTTCTAATACATCCCTGGATTGATGGTTTTACTTTCCAAACCCTGCTGAATGATAACTGCACACCTTATGCGAGAGTATGTGTTCAGATACCCACACACTTTCACAGTTTGGGTTCCCAGCAATAGCCTCTGAGATAGTTGACTTCTTTAACATTTTACACTTTTATACACAGAAAAGCACTTTGAACATAGGAGATCTAGTTAATAAATAATTGTTCACTCACTCTTGATTAGTTGTTAAAAACAACACATAGCAACCCTCATGGCACTGCATGTGGCTGCTTGCACACGCTGGTTTATAAGCACTGCTTGTGAATATATCCCAAAAATTTCTCCACCATTTTAATTAGTAAAAACGGGCTTTGTCTGAACTTTGTAGAAGCTTGCATGATGCAGAATTTGAACTTGAACACATTTTTCCCTGTCAAAGCCAGGAACAAAAGACACACACTCAAAGTATGACTGAAGCATGAGTGAGATAAGCCTGACATGGATTAGTAACTATTGGATATGGAAGGATTTCAAATTGATGAATATCTGATAATAAATTATGATAATAAAATTATCATTTTCTTTCTGCACCATTCAAATGATGTGGCAGCTGAGGATTACGGGCTCATTTTCAACACCCATCCAAAGAACGTTGTTAAAATATAATCTCGAGACCAAAAACAATAGGAGGGGAGAGAGAGAGATTAATTAAACTATAAAGCCTATTAAAAATTAATTGATCAAAAAAAGAATTGATCTAAATTTTATACCTCCTTTAACTTTGTCATGATGCAAGCCAACAACAGAAACTGTTTGAAGGCTCAGTGCTTCGTCAGCCCATTCTCTGTCCCTCTAAATCACATGTTCCTGGTTAACTCCTGGGCCACATCCCAAAGGCAAGAGGAGAACCATTCCAAAAAATCAGGCGTTTCTACTGCCAAGTAGTAGGTGGGTCTGACTTAGGCCACAGAAAACAATTTTCTATATTCAGACTTGGAGAAAACTTTGAGAAGGCCTCAGTCCAAAAAATCCAGAATTCCAATTAAAACAGGAGGTTCTAACCAATGTTAGGCCATGGCCAAACACACGCCAGGAAGGAGTCTTACTTTCCTGTGGGCCCAAACGATTACTTCTTTCCCAAAGGACAAAATGCAGTGCTTTTCATATCTGTCTCTTTTAACGTTGGAGGATGTGCTATTTGGCCACCATACTCCTCAAATGGAATTAGCCACTTTTTAGTATTTTGAGTCTGTCTCCTAAAATAACTAACAAGGACATAGCTGGGATTAATACTCAGGAAAATCCACTTTTAAACATCCAAAGCACGGTGCATCTTTTGTAAAGGTTACTTCATTGACTTCATTCTTCACAGAATTCACGTGCTGTTCTTCTTTCTGTAGATTTGCCCCGTTTCTGAGAAAAAACAGAGGAAGAAGGGCAACTTACTATCAGCTTAGTGTTTCCACAATCCCCTCTCCTCCCCCACCATCTTTATGATGAAAAAGCATTCAACTGGAAACTCGGAACGCAAGTTGTGAGGATAGACGCGGGGACCATGTGGTTCGTGGATCACAGAAATGAAAGACACTCGAACAACCATCATTTTCAAAGGACCCAGCTGAATGATTTCAACATTTAGAGGATTTCTTACTTCTAAAATTTATCAAATGAAAAGCCTGTTCCATTTCTTTTCTTGAATTAACAGAAGATGTGAAAAAGAGAATCTTTGATTTGATTGAGGTGGTTATCAGTCTGATTCATGATTACCGTGGATAAAGTTCGGGTGTATTTTTTTTAAAAAGCCGACTACGTATCTGTTGTTTCAGTAATCCTAGAATCAGATGAGAACTGTCTCATTAGACTTACTGAAATAAATTCTTATAACTTATATAAATAATATGGCCAGAAGTGCTTTCTAAACAGCTGGAGTTACTTCCTCGTTTGGTGGGGGAGTCTTGTTTTTACATTCACATATAGATTCAAAATTGTAGATGATCAGAGAAGAAAACGTGTGTTATTTGTGTGTAACCTAAATGCATGTATAAAACTTCATCTAAGGAGTTTCTTTCTAAGAATTGAAGAAAACGTGAAGTTCCCTTGGGAAATCTGAGGAAAAACAAAGCAATAACCGCTTAGTAAAGAAAGTCTCCACTTAGAAAAGAACTGAGTTATTCTGCCTGGCTCGATACCAATAACTAGTCTCCATTTCAAATTTATCTTGAGTGCTCTGACATGAATGGTTTAGATCTGTGTGGTCTCATCTTGCCATTCAAAGTATATATGCCATAATCGCATTTTATAAAAGATTAAAAAATATGAATATTATATATGTATAAATAAAGTCTGAAAGGATACAAATCAAAATGTTATTGACCCTAGTGATAGGGTCACAATGATTTTATTTTCTTTTTGCCTATTTTCCCCAATTTATTTACAATAAACATGTATACATTATATTATAAAGTAGAAATTAAAAATTTAGAGATATTCCACGTAGGATCTTTAACATACTTTTTCAAACGGGCAATTCTCATTCTGTACTTTTATCTATAAATGCAACCAGCAGAAAGAGACAAACCAAAAGCAATTGCTTTTTCTATTTCCAGATGAAACTGCATCCAGCCTTTCCATTGTTTCTCGTGTCACTGGCTGGTATGACATGATCTAATATTTCTCCCTGTTGTACCTGCAAGCCATTAGCGCTTGGCATCTGGCAGGGGAACCAGTGGAGGAATGAAAATGACATATTCCAGGAATTCACGAGGGGAGTGGGGAAGGTCACATGCTTGGTCTACACTTAGTACTGACGCTCTGGAAAGATTCAGCTGCCAGCTGCCACGTGGATTAGCCTTAAAGGTCAGGTAGGAAAGAGCCAGGGAGTTGTTTTGAGAAACAGAAAAGAGAATCGTCTCCTACATTCTCAGTCCATGAACTCCCCATCTTTAGGGGTTTTGAGATGGGTGCTTGGCCTGCCCCTGTGGCTATCTGTCCTGGAGTCAGTCCTTGAAGAACCAAGGACTATGTGGCTGCGGCTGACACAATGAGATGTTTTACTTCCTTGGCTACATCCTGGGAAGAGCTGCACCCACAGCCACAATGGCAACTGCTAAACTTGTGTTACGTGTGCTGCAGACAACATCTGTAAAGGCAGCAGAGATGCAATAGAGAAAAAAGCAGAAGTGAAGATTTGGAGGTAGTTTGAGAAATAAAATGAAAGCTAAAATGTGCACCTTGAATGATGGTCAGGGCTAGGAGAAAAAATACAAGGAGAAAGAAAAAAGAGGAAGTATTGCAAAAAGCAGTGGACCCATCTGATACATGTGCAGAAGGACTGAGAAAGACAAGAATCGGTGCAGGCCTTTAGTGACAGGGTGAAGAGGAAATCGTGAAGCTGCCTCCCTTGGGCTGTAAGCTCAGATGTGCAGAGACCTTTAGTCCAGAATGCTCACCAGCCAGACTTTTTATTCAGAGACTTGTCGTGGCACTTCACAAATACCACAGGTGCCTTTCCTTTCTGCAAATGAGATACTTTCTGCCTGGAACAGAAGATCACCCTGTGGAAGAAAATGGGTATGAACACATCACGTGGAACATGAAAAATGACTGTTCAAAAATGTACAGTTTGGTCAGGGGTGTTTAAATCCACCACAATCATGCTGATTAATTGTTTGGGTATTTTCCACAATTAACTGTAACACTCAGGCCACATAGGAAGCAGAGGGTTATTTGAGAGCCTAACCCAGGTTCAGCAAACAAGCTAGTTAATCGATCTAGACAGACAGGCATACAAATAGGCTGGAGGAGTCTAACACCACAAGGCTTTCACCAGGAGAGATACAAGGCCAACTCTCTCATCTCTTGGCTTCTTTCTGTATCAGAGAATTAAAAGGGAATTGGCTTTCAACTGCCTTAGAGAAACAAAAATTCCGCGTAGCCTTTCTGTCCAACTCTTTCTTTTTGGTTATCAAAGCAAACAACTAAAGAGAAATAATTTGTCAATCCTAATTTAAAGACTTGTTTTCATTAACAATAATAGCACACTGCAGTTTGCAAAAATCCCTGCACATTTAGTAGAAAAGTTTTAAATGCTATGTGGCTCTCTATGCAATTCATTTTATAGATGCATGTGGGGTGGGGGTGGGAAGACCGGTTGAGATGATCTTGGAATATCATCCTTCTTGAAGAGGTTGGTTTGACTCTTTGAATGTCAAAGTAACATCTCTGAGGTTTGTTCCCTAACTACTTGGTGTTTGCAAGAAATAGTGCTACGTAGGATGCTGAGATTCCTGACTTCTCATCCCAGCTCTCGCTCTGAATACCCGCGATCAATTCAGGGCTGATATGTTCCTTCCCATGAAATGCACAAATACTATTACGAATACTTCCCCAGTGTGATAATGCCAGCATACTCCTAAAGAAAATTCTAGGTGTAATTATCTAAGCAAAGCTTCCTAAAGTTTCACCCGAATGTTGAGAGTTCCTGAAATACTGTCCCTCAAGGTAATGATATTAGGGTGAGTTTGAAGTGAGTAGAGAAAAATGAAGTTAATTACTTTTTCTGTGTCTCTCCTGCTTTTACTCTGATCTTCTCAATAGCAAAGCCAGGGCTGCTCCACCAGTTTGACCAGCCAAAGTATGAATCGCTCTCCCATTTCAGCTTCAACATGAGCAGTTCTCCAATATCAACCTCCGTGTAAATTAAGAAGGAGTATGTCTTATTTGTGGAAACTTCTGGCCTGAATTAAAAAAAGAAAAAATCAACAAATTTGGTTAGCTCTGGAAATAAGCTTTTTTCCCCCTTTTTTCTCCTCCCAAGATGTAAATAAGCTTTATTGTTTGGGGGATACTTTAAAAAATGCAAAAAATGTCCAATAAAATACTGGAAATGAAAGTCAAGGGCATTTGGTGTATTTAAAAAGATATTCACATCCCTTTAATCTATTCCAGTATTTGTCCTAACAACAGGAACTATCAACATTTTAATATGATCCCTAAGAAAAAAATCCATAAGCCAATCATTCAGAAACATTATTTTCATTTTCATGTATTTCTTTTCAATTTGTATTGATAAGTGAACATATTTTTACTTAGTCACAAGCATAGTACACAGATAATTCTCTATTGTTTCTTTGTTCTTTCCATATTTTATCTTCTACTTTTTGCCATGTTTGACCTAGTTTACTATAATTACATTATTTAAAGGCTAGATTGATATTATTGACTTAATAAACCACAATTCATTGAACCATTGACTCGATGATGGATACTGAGTTTCTCATTTATGCTGTTATATGTACCACTATAATAAATTGCCATATTTTCAATTTTTTAAAAATTTTTGTTGACTATTTCTTTAGGATAGCTATTAGAAAAAAAATTACGTCATTCCATGTAATAACATTTTATAGCTATGGAAAGTTATCACCACACTGCTTTCCTTATCTGGAGGGTTCTATCAACGAATGATACCCCCAGTAGTGCGTGCATGTACTGTACGTCATTAGCACTGGGTATTCCAAAAGATTTGTTCCTTTAGTAATTACCAAAGGATACCAAAAAGTTGCCTTGATTTTTTATTTCTTTGATCACTAGTAGGGGTAAACCTTGTCATGGGCTTTTTATTACTTATACTTCTATACACATTACATATACATCTATCTACAGAGTGGTTTCCTGTTACTCTTGTTCATTTTCTTTAATGTCAAAACTTTCAAGGGAATTTTATCGTTGTTTTGTTTAAGAACAACTGTAAAAAGAAATAAGCAGATATAAAATGATAAAAGAAAAAATGAATAGTAAATATAAAATGGCCAATTTGAAGAATTTTTTTTCTCACTCTAAAATAAACCAAAGACCTCAATTTTGAAACCCCAGTTTCTTGAACTAGAGACTTGTTTTCTAGGTGTCCCACCCTACTTCTGAATCTCAGACTAGCATCCAGGGCAGGTGGCAGGGCCACAGTGAACCCACACGTCGTGGCTACTCACAGGGTGAAAGCGATGTTCTCACTCTCCGCCACTGTGCCGTACAGAGAAATCTCGAAGGCCTGGTTGGTGTGCGTTTCACTTTCGGTCCCAGAGAAATGAATCTTTACTTGGTAATGGAATACTGTAGGGGAGGAAATTGGAACACACGGTGATCAATCATCATGGAAACACCGCAACCCCAAAACAATCAGGCTATTCAGAGCCACAGAACATATCTCACGAGCCCCCAAAACCATCAGTGTGGCTTAGAAAGGTTTCTTTATATGGTGCAGTGTTCACGCCTAGAAAACGCAGACCTTGAATTTTACTCCCGTTCAGAAAAGTGTGGCTTTAATGAACAGGAAAAACCCAAATGTGTCTGAATTGCCAAACAGTCCTAGGCATTGATGGGATGGACAGGAAGAAGACCAAACCAAAAGGTTGAAACTCTTCTCCCATGAACTCCACCCTCCTTGGCTGTCTAGCCTCTTAGCATCTGTACCTAGCATATTTGGCATTTGTTACTGTGTCACTGTAAGTGACCACGTTTCTTCTTGTTTCATGGGCAGGTCTGCCCTTCCGCCCTGACTGTAACCTCCTTCAGGTCAGAGGATCGTATCTACCCTCTGAATTCCCGCATCGTCTAGCACACAGGTATGCAGTAGGCTCACAATAAAACTCAGCGCGCTGACCCATCAGCAAGGCCGCAAGGGCTGCCTCGCCAAGCCATTTCCTAACGCGTCCTGTACCAGGAAAAGCCTTCGGAAGCAGGTACTTGAACTTCAACATCTGCTTCCTGTTCTTCCCTCCATCTCTCCCCAAATCCCTGAGCAAGTGGGACTTGGGGGAGGTGAGAGGAAGGAGAAGGCAGCAGGCCTGAAACACAGTCATGATGACGGGGGAAAAAAAGAGTTATTGGGATGCTTTGTCTTCTATGTCCCTAGACCCGTGGTCAGATTTTTTTTCTTACTTGTGTTTCTGTCTATTAAATGTACTTTCTCTTAAGCTGGAACATAGATTTCTTAACACTATTTGTTTAGAATTTGGCCAGCTATATTTTGATGCTAGTTTAGACATTCGTTCTAACAAAAAAAATTTTAATACGTTTTGTTGTTGTGAGCTTTCTTTCTTTTTTTTTTTTTTTTGAGACAGAATCTCACTGTGTTGCCTGGGCTAGAGTGCTGTGGCATCAGCCTAGCTCACAGCAACTTCGAACTCCCAGACTCAAGCAATCCTTCTGCCTCAGCCTCCCAAGTAGCTGGGACTACAGGCATGCTCCACCATGCCTGTCTAATTTTTTCTACATATTTTTAGTTGTCCGATTAATTTCTATTTTTTAGTAGAGATGGGGTCTCGCTCTTGCTCAGGCTGGTTTCGAACTCCTGAGCTCAATCAATCCATCCGCCTCAGCCTCCCAGAGTGCTAGGATTACAGGCGTGAGCCACTGCACCTGGCCTGTTGTGAGCTTTCAGTGAAAACCTCTATTTTGCTTAGATGCCTCTCTTTTTATAATAAAAAGAAGCAGCCAGATTCTAAGCAAAAAAAAAAACCACCACTAACAACAAAATGCCACAGCCACGAAGAGGTGAAGGGAAATCAGGTGTGGGGTACAACGGAGCCCTTGCAGACCACAGTGACAGGTTAGAGCAGGAGGAGCTGGAAGACACAAGGTGCCCCCAGCAGACACTGTTGGAGCCCTGAGCACACATGTGCAGGATGGGGGGTGAGTGAGACAGATTCGTGTCTTGGAGATTATGGTCCCGCGATTCCCTCCTTTCCCCACACACACTCTCTGGTTCTGAAGAATCAGGGAAATTGAGGGTTCCTTCATTGCCTAAAAAGTTTCCTTGAACTACAAGTGCTCCAGCCTCTAAGCCACCAAATGCACCTCTGCAGATTCTAACAAATCGCCTTACACAATGGCACCTAGAGCAGATATATTTTACCGTGGGAAATTGTTCTTTGATGGCATCCCTTCCCTAGGGCTTCTACCTGGATTCCACATAAGCCAGACTTTCTAAAGTTAGTCCCCTCTTGCCAGAGATATCTGATCACCTGCTCTCCCATTTCCCCACCATTCCTTTAGATCTGGCTCTAAGCAAGATGACCAGCTTGAAATTCAAGTGGGAAACAAATTCATGGCAAAATGGAAACATCCTAGCAGATCTGGTACATCCTTGCCTCCCAGGGATAGTTCCATTTAAAAATAGATAGCTCTTGCCTTTGTGTAAAACAAGCTTTAGAAGTGGCAAACTTTCTACACAGGCCCAGGGTGTAAACACTCAGTGGGCTGTAGGGTCTGTCTCAACTATTCAACTCTGTTGTGGTGGCAGGAATGTAGCCTTCGCCAATATGGAAATGAAATGTGTGTGGTACTGTTCTAATAAAACTTTATTTACAAAAGCAAGCAGTAGGCTAGATTTGGCCCAATCGAAATTCTGGGGTTTGCCAAGCCCACATAGATGGTTCCAAACCGGCTCTGAGCTCAGTGCTGCTGCGCTGGCTCATGCTAATGGTCACGGTGACAGAGGAGGGTGGCCAGCAGGGCTGCAAATCCTAGGCTGAGCCCTGGGGCCTTTCTGGCAATGGCAATTATGGGCATCAGTGAAAGGGATCGATGCAACTCCCTCTCCATCAACAGAAACACAGCGAGGGCTCAGGGTTCAGTAACCTCACATCAATGGACAGAGTCAGTACGCGAGATGTAGCGAGCATGATGCAAATAGGACTGACAGATTTCCTCATTTCCGGTAGTCACTTCCTACCTTTGTAAGGCATCTGGGAACGAGTCTTCAGGTACATTTTGCTGCTTCTTTTGGCTCTGACCTTGTTGATCTCATAGCCCACATTATTGCAACGGTTCTTTCTGCAACTGAGGCACAGCCCTTTCTCGAAGGCTTCCTTTGAACTGCACCGGTAGGCTTTGCTTGGATTTTCTTCATTCAACAGGGAGTCGATGAAGAGATGAATGGAGCGCTCGTGGGAGCACTTCACTAGTTGGTCCACATCTGGGGAAAAAGAGGCACCAAGGAAATTTCAACTCTGTGCAAATCCACAACGAGTGTTTCATTTTGCATGTCTAAAACAGGTTAGGTGTGGTGTTAGAATAAAATGACCCTAAGACATAGGTCGATGCATCTATGACTGTGAGCCCTATTTTAGGAGGTATTCTTGGTGGCTCACCAATGTCCAAGATTGTGCAAGTTGCAAGTTCATGGGGAACTTCTGACTTTTCTGCTGTCTTATATTTATGAGTATGTTCATGACACCATAATAAGAGACATCTAAGGTAGAGGTTAACTTCCATCTTTTACCAACATTCTCCTCCTGTTTTTATTGTCATAACCCTAACCTTAACCCTAAAGCATCCTTCTCTTACATTAAAGGTGTCTAATATTCTAGGTACTTTGAGAAACATACAGTAATTCTAGAAACCACATCATAAAAGACATAATTGTTAAATGAATAGTATTTTGTCACAGATATGTATAACTGAGGACTGTGCCCCTACTAATGCTTTTTACATCAAATGAACCATAGACATAATCAGCAATGTCCTAAGAATAGGTTTATCATCGTAAGCTTTTATAACAATTGAAAATAGTAACATATGCTGTAAGTTCTATAACGTGCACACAAAAGTAATTAGCATATTGACTGCAGGTAGGTCCCGATGTCCATGAAAAATGCAAAGGGCCCTTAAAAATAAATCATAAATTTAACACAAGTTAACATGATTATTAAAGTAAATATTAAGCTAATATCATATTATTCTCTCTTCTTAGAATTTTGGAAGACTCATTTCTGATTTGTCCATCTCTTAAAAAGGCCAGCAAAAGAAATTTGGACTAATTAACATCTCTTTCATTTTCAGTAAAATCCAAAAATCACCCCACTGGCTTTGCGACTACATTCAAAGTGTGACAACATGTGGCCAGACACCATTTTACAATGTTATTATCAAGGTCAGTGGCATTTTCCTGTCTAAACCTCATCTTTACTTGCTCTTGCTACTGCAAGTACAGTAGCCAATGTAGTCTACAATATGATAAATAAAAGGTAAAGTATCTGTCTGGCTCTAAGGTGATCATGATGAACATGTCAGAATTCTTCATAAACATATTTTGGCCAAACATATACGCAAAAACCACATACTTTGGTGGTACTGGGTAGGGCACTGGGTCGGTAAGGGTTCAGGACAGAACTCCCATTTAACTCACTTCTAAATCGTATTTACCTCCGAGGCCTCTCTGTGCAATCACACGGATGGCTTCCCCAATGTTGCACCCCGGTTGAAAAGTGCCTCCGTTTGGATAAATGTCAACGTGCCCTATTGGTTTCTGGATTCCAATACTGCGGCCAGGGGACCCTCTGGTGAACGTGTGTAAGACATCTACAAAATGGGCATCATCAGGAGAAAGGCGACTTGGAGCTTCTGCATACTCGAAGTTAGGTCCTGCTGGATCTAGGCCTTGATGGGGGGGAAAAAGGACAGATTTTTAAATCTGCATTAGTATGACCTTAGCATGTTATTGCTCCTCATTGGAACGTAACCGGCAGCCTCTTAGATTCTCATTAGCTTCTATACTATAGTCATTGGATCTTTCAGTTACTAAGAGAGTTATAAAAGTAAGCTTGGCTCCTTCTAAAATGATTTTGAGTCTCTTAAATTAGGCATTATCCAGAGATTTTCACTCAGGATGGCTTGATTTCCTTTTGTAAATGATTTCGGAATCTGGTCAGAAGACTTTTAAACAGTGATGGGTTCTTTCTCCCTCTCTCTGTATGTCAAACCTTTGCTCAGAGGACTGTCTTCTTTCCAAACGGCCTCTGGACTTGAGCCTGTTGATTTTTGCTAGTAGTGATGTGAGGAATGACTACGTACGCACAATACGCTACCAAAGCCCAGAGCAGAGGGAGGGGAAAACAGGCTTCTCAGAGAAATCTGTGGGCATCCTGTGCTTAATTCTGCCTTGTACCCGTGCTGTTGCCAGCAGAGGGTGGGCCTGTGGGAGGAAGCCTCTGTATTTTATCTTACTCCTGAAAGAGCCCTACAACGAGATAACCAGGTGCCAGGCTTATGGCCCGGAAGAACACCACACACATGAGTATTTAACAAATGTTCTGATCTTCTTTCAGAATGAGAGCCATCTCAACTCTTGTGATAAGCCCAATGAAACCGCTCTCTTACCAGTAATTCTATTGACCTTCTTGTTGGTCAGACTTCCTGCGATCCCAGCAGCATGGGCTCCAAGGCTGTATCCCAGGAGATGGACGTTGTCCAGAGGATAGTTAAATTCCTCCTTCAGAAAAGACAAAGAAAAAAAAAAGGCTCTTATAGCTCTTTGCCAAAGATCAAAACTAAAAGAAATAAAATGAATCAAAATATAGGCAATACTGAAAATTAATTCTACTTATGTTAATTTGGTGTTACAGGTAAAAGAAAGAAACATATTGTCTGGTGTTGAGAGTTTCTTTTTCTTTAACAGCAGATTGAAATTAGGAAGCTTTTCCAAACATCTGATACAGTATTTTTATATTTATAACATATGTATGCATATATGTATATGTATATGTGTATGTATGTACATATATGTATGTACACTAATATATATTTAACTTTACCCCATTATTCCCTATTCTAAATATACTACATCACTTTATTCTTAAAGGCTAGCCGAGCAATGACCTATAATCAGAAACTATTACAGTGGGAAGGGATCACAGTCCAGCCTCCTCATTTACCAGGTGGGAAGCCCAAGGTCAGAAGGTGATTGGATTTGTCCAGGTTCACTTGCCTGGTTAGCAAAAGAGCCAAGAAAAATAACTTTTCTCCTTTGATGATCAGTCTAATAAATACAGCTTATTTTTTACCCTCTAATTACCTGGTTTAAATAATTTGGCCCTGTCAGAGTATTAGCTTCCTTCCAACCCCAAGATACTTTTTCAAAGGTACTTTTCAGGGCATAGCCTGCCAAAGTGGGTCCTTTGCCGCTAAGTCAGAACTCTGGATCCTCAGCCATCTCAAATCCTCAACACCTTCCCTGCCATGTTCTTCCTAACTCAATTCCATCACTCCCCCAACCCTCGACAAAAATCTGCATCCTTAATCCACACCAAAGAATAAATACTATTAATATTTTCATGAGAGAGATTGGTATTCTAACAGAAGTCAAAGCCAGGGTAAAATTTCCATGTGCCAGCCATTGGTGGGAAAGGATTGGCAGAATATGCCATTTCTTTCCTCTGTGCCGAAATAACAAGCTTTTGTCTGTTCAGCCCACGGAGTTCTTGGTGTCAGCAGATCTATTCACTGTGAAAATATCAAAGGACAGGGCAGGGCAGGACTATTTATTGGCTTTATAGATATCATCATTCTTATCAAAATGCTGCTTTGGGCTGTAAAATAACATCTATGCTCATTTTGAAGATTTGAACTGCCACAGAAAATACCTACATTTAAGTAAAAAGGAAGAAAGACCAGCCATCTGTCTGGCTTCAGCCAAGAGCTCTGTTTTGGACACATTTGGACACCAAGCCTTACCTCCATCCAGTTGATAAATCTGGCCACATCCTTTCCCACCAGCTTGGTGTAGCCTGCAGACACTGGATAATGGTGCTGAGCCCGGGACAGCCAGTCCACCACGACGACATTGGAGTCTGGTTCCCGCTTGTACAGGGCGGCCACAAGCTTTGGCACCCAACTCTCATACATTCCTGTCACCTGAAGAGGATGACACAAGCGTTCTTAAAACATTCACACACAACTCGTCATGGATACGTCAGCCCAATGCACCTACATAACATGGAAAAAACACACTTGCAAGGGAGCCCGTTAGCTCAGACAGAAAAATCAAACCCCAAAAGAGTGTTCGGAGACTTACGACTACTGCCTCTTCCAAGGCAAATTTGAGTATGCCACAGAAGGGATGCGTTGAGCTCAGGAATGGCAGACTGGTGTTTACCATGCTTTCAATTTTAAAAATATATTTTATGAATTCAGAAAAACTTTAACAATTTATACTATAAAAGCCTGAATGCAGAGTGGGTCTTTGGGGGAACCAGTGGGAATACCTGCCTAGAGCAAAACCCCGAGGAATTGGTCCTGTGCCAAACCCCTTCTCCTCCCTAGGGGTTGGGGTGCTGGCCACCCTTTGCAGTTGCCTTTCGAGATCAAGAGGGGATGATGTCATTTCTTCAGACTGCAATATTCATCGTTCCTTGTTTCAGCCAGCAGCTCTGACATAATATAAATTGAGACCCAAAGATGAGAAATGACTTCACCCATGTCACGGAGGCGGAGAATGGCGAGGCCAGCACCCGCACCCACATCTCCTCGCTCCACTCCAGCCTTCTCCTCACTCTTGCAGACTATTTGCTTTAGGAAAGGACCTCGAGTGATGTACTGGATGATGCAGGACCATGGCCGGTTCCCCGCAACCATAACCTACATTCTCCTCTGCAGATGGGCGGAGCCTCCTCTCCCCACCTCCCAGGAATGGCTGGCTCAAGCACACAAAGCAGGTCCCACGTTAAAATGAACGTTGGCACTGTCTAGGGAAAGCACTCATGAACCTGTGGCTTTAGATCCCACTCAAGCCAGACTTGCCTTTATTCAAATTTAAAGCAAAGCTATTAGAAGGCAAGAAGTATGGGCTGTGGACCCATCGTTGGGTCCCACCAACGAGGGCAAGCCAGCATGCCCGGTGGACCCCGGCATGTTCCTTCCAAAAGAGCATCTTACCGTCCAGCCATGGATCACCACAAAGGTTTTGCTGCTGTGGTTGAAGTGACAGTTGGCCACAGACTCTGCTACTCCGGGAATGAGGTGGCAAGTGTCCTCAGCTGTGTCTTCAGGGGTCCTTAGGGCAAATTTACTTTCGATGTCTATAAAATTGCTTCTTCCTATAATTCAGAAAAAATTGAATAGGATGTTAACTGGAGTGTTGTTCGTTTTTATTTGCCGGAATGGTACATTTTAGGCTCACAAGCAACCACCACTGATGCTATTTTTGTTTCTGTTTTTTTAAAGATGAATATGTACGGCAAGAATGATGGATGCGTCAGTGGTGACCAAAGTTGATGGAGAGACTTATTTCATGTATTATTTCACCCTCTTAAAATCTCTGATTACATCACAAGAATTTTTCTCTGTAATATTATACACTTAGGCTTGTTTGAAGGAAGGTTGTTTCTTTTTCGTTAGCATATTTTTTTTTAAATATTAGCAGTAAGAAAAGTTGGAAGCATGAGGAAGCTTTTGTATGAAATTGTTCCCACCAGTTCAAAATGTTTTAAGAAATCATTTAATGGATGGTTCAGAAGTACCTGGGCTAATTATGAGTTGTGGTTAATTCTTTCCCCAAATATTTCTTTTTCTATTTATGTCATTACAATTTTACACACAAAGTCAAAACTTAAAAACTATAGTAAAGGTGATTGTAGAAAGGGTGCACTTTGGTTCTTCACAGTCCATCCCAAACTGGGTAAAGAAAGAAAGAGAACCTAGCTCTTGAAATTATGGACAATAAATCTAAATGTTGATAAATCTTCATGGGGCATTTGTAGACAGTATATATCATATTACATTGAATACTAGAAGTAAATTATGTTGTAAATAAAATCAGACCCTTTTTACAGAACAAAACACAGTCAAAGGGAAGTTATATTAGGGGAAATTATTTTCCTTGCCAAGTAAAAAAATTTAAAAAAAAATCCTACCTATTTATTAATACCATAAGAAGGCAATAATTTGTAAATTTTAGATTTTGCTATGCAAAACTTTCAGGGGATAAATAAATGCGGTTGCTAATATTTCTTAACCTAAATATTCTCTGTTCATAATTCAAAATTTGAAAATCTACAATTTCAAAATAACACTGCAAAAGTCAGGCCAAGAATAAAAATAAGAATGGTATACTAACAGTGAAAGGGCAGGCATTTGAATCAGACTTGTCATATAACTATCTGAGGACTGGCCAACGTTTTTCTTTTAATAATTATTTTCCAAAATTCCTTGAACAAGATCATGGTTACTTGCCAAGTGATTCATTATATGCAGTCAGTTGATCTCACACACCACACACATACTCTCAACCACCTAAAATGTAGGAGACAATTTCTTTATATTTATTAGAAAGAGGTAAGTTTTGCTACAAAAGCTAAGGACTCTAAGATCATTTATTCAAATAAGAGTCCATGCTAAACTATTAATCTTTAAAGCTGTTTTCATTTCCCTATAGTAAAACTGCTCTTGAATCCATCCATCCACCAAGAATATGTTCTACCTCTCCTCTTATTTGAAGATGTTGGTCTCCTTCCTTTTTCCTAACCAAAAAGCACTCTGGTAGCTTCATTATTTATCTGATAGAGAAAAAAGAATATCGAATATTTTTAATCTAATTCTCCTTTCAGTGCCCAAGAACTTGACTGTTAGAAAGTGCTTTAGAAAATTTAAAACTAAATTAATTTCACCCTCTCCCACGTCTTTCTACCTCAAATAGCTCATACCTCCTCTCCAACAATCTTATTTTAACATATTCGATTATCAATCTTTCTAAAGCGGAGATCATCTGAACAATCCAACAGATAAATCTCCCTTACCAACTATTTGCCAAACTGGTATTTAAGACTGTTTCTTTGTTACAACCCCAGGGGCTTTTGCTTTTAGTCTATTTGTCATTCACTTTTAGTCTGTTTTTTCCCTCAAATTATGCAATTTAGTGGCCCTGGTGTTGTTGGTGGTTTTTAAATGACCTACAATATTTTTTGAAATTGCTAAGACTGGCTTTGTATGTTTCCATGAAAAAAAAAAGTCTATTCAATCTATAGATCCTGTATCGGATTATATGTATGGTTCACTGACAGCTTGAATTTCCGACAACCCATATTTCTGTTGGGTCCACAGCTTGGAAAGAAAAATTATAGGGAATTCATGTATTCCCAAGCGAACTTGTATTTGGAGACTTTCGTTTTGCTTTTAAAGGAAATGATTTTTCATTTTAAGTTTTGACAGGAAAATAGTGCCATTCTATGTACTATGTGATGGTTTTAATTCTACATCAGGTATGAAATCATAAATCTTATTGGCACTTAAGCAATCTTTCCTTCTCTTTGTGTTCTTATAAGAATTTTCACAATGTCTGTATTTGCAACCCCTCAAGGATGTCCCAGCATCCTAAAGATGAATGTGTTTCCCAAACCTCTATCAGCCCTGGAGCAACTGCCTTAGACCAAGTAGAGAAAGATGGCCACTGGGTCAGTCAGTATGTGTAGTTGTCCCAATGCACCCTGGGATTGCTTCTGGGTGGCCGATGAACAGATGTGACTGTTACTAAGGAAACTATTGTTTCCCATACATGGAAATGGTATTAGTGACTCTGCATTTATCCAACTAGATGGTCTTTTAGCATATCCCTTAGAAATTAAGGTCACCTTAGAATTGAGAGAGATAGAAAGAGAGGACGAAAGGAAGGAAGGAAGGGAAGGAAGGAGGGAGGGAGGAAGAAAGGAAGGAAGGAAGGGCTTCCATCCTGAATTTGACTTAGCACATCAGTACCACCTGCCAACCAGTCCCCAGCAGAAATGTCCTTATTAAGCACTAGGGGAGATCTGGGGTACCAGGCAAGTTACAGGTTAACACATTTCCTATGTAATCTTTATCCCTGAATTCCTAAATAGATAGCTGAAAAATCCGAGTGTGTAAACAAAGATAAAGAATTTATGTTAACATGGATAATAACTCACAGAGATGAAATTAAGCTGAGAAGTTAAAGCACTTAGAGAAAGGTAAATTTATAGAGGGGATATTATTGTTGCTAAAAAAAAAAAAAGCATTGAGCATCCTAAAAAAAAAGCAATAGGTGATACTCTAAAGGCAAATCAGAGCTATCAGATGAATAAGATTAACATTCATATGAAGACATGAGTTAGGAGAGCTCAATTGCAATGCAATTCTCTTTGGAATTTCTACTTCCAATCTCTCTCTCTCTCTCTCTCTCTCTCTGATACACAAACACGCACACACACACACACACACACACTCACACACCCCTAAGGATTTCATCAGTAATTCATTTGCTCTCTGAAACTGATGGTCACAGTTATTGACTCAGGCAGTGCCTGCAGGATGCCAAAAACAAGTTGAATTACTGAATTGGTCAGTTTGGCGAGGAAAAACATCAATATCATTATCTGACTGAATTGATCAGTCTGTTCAGATATTCCAGTGCAGACAATGTATAGAAAAAAATACTTGTTTTGGTGAGTATTAAAAACAAATCCTGTACTTACCACCTGAATTTTACATTGAATTTTCTCCAGTATTAGGACTGAGGACTGAACATCCACACTACTAGAAAGAAGGGTTTAAAAATAGGTTCGGAGATGAGTATGAAATAAATGGCCCGGTTGAATTAGACTGAACGTGAACAAGTGTAAGCCATCATTACTCAAAGGGATCTTGTGGATTGGTTGATGAAATATCTTGGTTGAAGGTCACCATGTAGGCATATTTAAATCAAGATTTCTTAAAAAAATTGAAATTCGTGTATTGTTAACTTGAAATTACTTTCTCACTGTTGATAGAGATGGCAAATGGAAACATCCAATTGTCTCAGACTAATACAATGGAAGCCAATGATTACCTTCCTTGCTAGCAATTGTTTCATTTATGGGAAGGCTGGATAAAGACTTGAACTCCATTTTAATTAAAATGTAGGTGCTAACTTTTACACTAGTTTTCACCAAAAGAATCTGACTTTTCACTGTATTTTAAAGCGTTTGTAAACTTATATATTAAATTTAAATTAATCTGAGTCAGAATAGTATTGTCCCTACTTGTCTGCATAGAAACAGACTTCATCATCTAAGAAAAACACATAGATGAACACACACCCCAAAGGGTTGTGTGTCATGAACACGGCTGGATTAGACTGAGTGACCATGACAATTGAGTCATTTTTGTTGTATTCTACTGCCAATTAGCAGTGGGGACATTTTCTTGTATTCATTCAAAAAGTCAAAATCACCAAACTACTTAAGATAGCATTTAATCATTCTGAGATAATGACTAGGAAAAGCAAAAAGAATAAGTTGGCACAGATTAAGGCTCATTTTCAGTTATGTTTTATATATATATATATATGTAAAACCACCTAAGATAATCCATTCCTTCCTTCCTAACAGATATTTATTTCCTCCACTAGTATGGACTAACATTTGTTGAGTATCCAAACTATGTCACTGCACACAGACATTCTTAAAATAGCCACAGGACAGCAATGTGCAGTCATACAGTCCAATGGACATTGTTCACAGTAAAATTCACTCTTAGCCTCTAAGTAATCTGGAATCCTATGATATTTCTCCTTCAGAAGCTAACAGAGCCTTCAACTTTTGCAAAGAGAGAATGTGACAAAAACCACTTGTGACGAAGATTCACTCTCAGCTTAAAAATTCTCTGTTGATAAAGAAAAATTTAGTTCACGGTGGTGAAAAACTGTATTTAGTGACTACAACTATCCTGAAAAAGTTGTTGTTGCCATAAAAGTTAGAAAATACATCATGAGTAAATTCAACTGGTATCTCCATCCAGACTTAAAAAATACTCATGTCTTGAATACTTTCCTTGCACTTTGTGGTCCAAAGTCATCAGCAACCATCATTTTGATGGCTAGAACATCTTCACAGGGCAGGCAATGCAGCCTTTGTGGTAATAATGTGGGAAGAGGCGGCCATCAGAGAGAAGAAGCTAACAGTAAAATGTTGTAAGTTTCAAGGCACTTTCTTGAACAATCTGACATAATCTGACAGTTTGGCAGTAAACTATATAGCCCAATTTCTCCTCCATAAAAAGGAAGAATAGAAGGCTGAGCTAAAAATACGCTGCTGCAAAAAAAAAAAAAAAAAAAAATTAAATTTTCCATCGCAATTCTTCCCCTGTACCTGACTCCCACCTTTCAATACAGCTATTAATCAATCACTGCCTCGCTGAGCTGTTCTCCAGTGACATCTGCTATTTTGCTCTCATCTCCCATCACGGTTAACCCAGATGTTCGCCTGGAAATTCACCATGGCCAGTCAACTAGAACTGCAGCTGCTGAGCACTGACCCATGTGCTCCCTCTCCTAGCTCTTCAGTTTCCTAATTGGGGCCACCGCAGAGATGGCGGTGGCTCCCAGGACACAGAGCCTGAGGGCAGTGCCTCTTAGCCTCATATTCTTCTTAGAAAGAATCAAGAATGAATAAGTAAACTCAGAGCCCAGAGGAGGTGTTGGATATCGTTCTCCCCCAGCTGCCACTTTCTGGCCCTGGAATTCTCACATTCCTACATGAATGCATCTGGAGGAGAGAGGGGCAGAACGTTGCTGTGACCGGACGGGCAAGATAGGGACAGGGTTGAGTGGAAGTGGAGGGAATGAGTGGGAATCATTTCAAGTCTGCTTAGAAATAATCCTTCCTTAATACATTTACAGCCAGGAAAAGCATGTGTTGGTTAAAATCCAGTTAAATTAATTAAGCACATGAGTACCCATTTCAATCAAAAGTTAAGAATTAGAGGGACCTCAGAGACCTTTCAGCCTCACCAAAATCCTCCTTTTAGAGTTGAGGACGCTAAACCCAGACAAATGACACTGTCTAGCCCCAAAACATAGCATCCTGAACCTCTAAAGCCTAGCAAAAACTTAAAATGTGGATGACACATTTCTGTGCGTGTTTGATGGTGGAAGTAACGTTACTCTACGATGTGCTTTCTGAATTAGGATTCGGAGTTGCTTGCTACCATCCTGTTGGCCAGTGTTAAACACTACGGAGGGGAACACACCAACACATAGGATGTTTAAGACTTTCTCTCTGACTCTCCCGTGTTCTCAAATTGATCTGATAGGAAAGATACTTGTGTTTTTATCCAATTCTGCTTTAACGGAACCTACACTTTTTTTTTTAACCTAACAAAAATGTTCTTTTACAAATTAATGCCGAAATAAAACAAACGTTCAGCTGCAATCAAAGCCGTGACATACAGACTCGAGAGAGCACATCCAAGAGACGCTGCCCTAACTGCAACTCCACCACGCAAGAGAAAAGGGGATGTTGCCTCCGCTTGGGATTCGCTTCAGTCGCTCTTTAATTTGCTGTTGTAGGAAACTGAACCAGGGTTCAAGTTATGCAGGCCGCCTCTACGCGGGCAGGGCTGGAGCTGGGCTTTCACTTTCCCTGCAAAGAAGAAATTCGACACTGGCCCCAACGCCTGGCCCCGGACGAGCGGGCGGCGCCCTGGCGGTGACTGTGGTCCCGCCCGCAGCCACCGCGGGGCTGGCCAAGTGCAGACCTGGCAAACCCCAAGTCGGCGGCCACGTTTTCAGGAGGGTCAGCCCTTCGTGGCTCTCTGGGCACTAAGAGGGGCGCACGAGCCTGGAAGCTGGAGAGCGTCCCAGACGCCGAACGCGCGCAGGTCGCTGCGTCCCTGGGACTCCGCGCCACGCGTCGCCCCTGCATCCCCACCCCACTGCCACTCCCACTGCGGCGCAAAGGGGTCAGCCGAGGTCGAGAGTGCCCGGTGCCGCCGAGATGCCAGCAACGCCTTCCCGCGCCCCGCCCGTTCCCCTAGAAGGGGCCACTGTCTGCCGGCGCGTCCACAGGCGGGGGCTGAGCCGCGGCCGCGGCCAAGCCGGGGTCACCTTGGCCCGCGTGCCTTTCATTCCAGGGCACCCCCAGCGGGGAGGTCACTGCTGGTCACCGCCAGCCGGGCCCTTGCTCCCGCCTCCCTCGTCCCGCCCCTCACACCCCCGAGCCTCCCCGGCGGGGTCCGCGCGCCCGGGAACGCGGCGGCAGCCAGAGAGGCAGGGACAGCGCGGGAACCCAGGGCGGGAACCAGGCGCCGACCCAGCAAGATCGGAGGGAGATTCCCTCCCTGGCCCTCGTGGGTCCCACTCGGTGACTCTTCTCCAGGCCGTGCTCGGTGCGCACCGCATCCCCTTCCAAGTTCCTCGCTCCCATCCGCAGGACGGGTAGCAGTGGCCACCCCGCGTGTGCAGGTGGACGCGAGTTTGCGCGCAAAACTTACGGTCATCGGCGGCCACCCCTCCTCGGGAGGCGGTCAGACTCTGGAGCCACACGCCCAGGGCCACCAGGAACAGGGCTTTGCTCATCTTGGGGGCACGTCTCTCTGCGGGAGCTGCCAGGTGCGGACCGACTGATGGACCCGCGGAGCCGGAGTTCAGGCCGCCACAGGGCAAGTCGCGCTTTAAAGGGGAGGGCAGGACAGCTAGAAGTGGCAGGTTGGAGGAGGAGGAGGGGGAGGAGGAGGAGGAGTAAGAATGGAGTCTGACACTGTTTCCACTCCGCGGCTTCTTATGTGACTGGAAATATGCAAATAAATCTCATCACCTATTGGCTATAAAATCATAAGTTAGAGGGAGGGCCCTAAATTCACTCCCAAATATTTGAGCAAACAGTAATGAGAAGAGGGGAAAGGGCAGAAGCCAGAATTTGCTTGCTTTCTGCTCGGCTCCTGTTTGCTTAGCCTGAGGGGATCTACTCCCCAGGGGCCCCCCGTATAAGCACCACACACACGTTTATATCGATTTATGATAAATACTCAATAATCACCAGTTTTAGAAGGAGGGGAAGTGTAGCTGTTAAACTACATTTGGTCAGGACTTTAATCCACTCCTTTTTTGATGTATTCTGTTTGTTAACTTGCAGTGCTCCCTAAATCAATCTTGGGGTGCAAGAACACACATTGATCCCTAGTTTGTGCTTAACGCAATCGAGCATTTTAACATTGACAAGCGCATTAGCTTCTGTGCTGGAGAAAAGCCCTCTTGATCTAACTACTTTCTAATTTTTGCCTCATGCAAATTATACTCAATTCTCAAACTCATCAAGGAATGCAAGAGTCACATTTGATCTTCAGAGGCAAGACCTGGAGGTCAGATAATTTAAAACTGTATTGAGTTATGATAAGTGAGAAGAAGACAGTCACTAAAGACACTTATTGTATGATTTCATTTAAAATGTCCACAAATAGGCAAGTCTATAGAGACAGAAAGTAGATCAGTGGTTGCCTGAGGCTGGGGATAGCGGAGGGAAAGAACGGGGAGCTTTGGGGAGGGGGTGACGAAAATGTTCTAAAATGACACTATGGTGGTATTTCACAACTCTGTAAATGTACTAAAAACCATTGAATTGTACACTTTAAACGAGTGAACTATATGGTATGTGAGTTATATTTCAATAAAGCTATTTTTAAAAATGTATTGAAGCATGCAAGTAAAATAAGAAAAACAAAATGACATTCGATACTGTGCCTTTCTGCCAAAATGCTCAGAATATTTTCAAATATCTTCTGAAATGTAAGGGATTTATATTAGCCAGGAAGGGCAATTAACTCTATACTCCTTGCCTTATTGCTGAGAAACTGGCTCATAGAATCTTTGATCCACTATCTTTACTGATCTGAGTATTTTTAATGTCTCCTTCTACTCATCGCTCCCTCCATCACACACACGTACACACAGTGTACATTTTGTAGGTTAGAAGGATGAAAGGCTTTTTTTTTTTAAACTAGGCTCACTTTTTAAGGTTTTCTCAAAAAATAAAAGCTGATAATACCCAAATAGTTCAAAGTTTGCTATTCTGCAAAAGAGCTTCCTATCTTTAAGTTGATATATTCAATGACACAATTGTTTTGTGTTACAATTATTAAAGAACATATTGTGCACATTCATTCTATCCTATAAAGCAGCGGTCCCCAAACTTTTTGGCACCAGAACCGGTTTGATGGAAGACAATTTTTCCGCGGAGCGGAAGGGGTGGGGGGATGGGACAGAGCTCTGCAGCGGGGTCCCTAACAGGCTGTGGAGGGACGGGGGGTTGGGGACCCCAGCTGTAAAGCATGTGGAGAATTTTTTAAAACCTGCCAAAAATTAAACCCCGTAGAAGAGCTTTAGAAATGGCAGAACATACCATGCCACTATGATGAATAACTATGATATGGCAGTCCTCCAAGAACCATATAGTAAACTCTAATTTTAAAAAAAAACTACACAAGATGAGTGCGATTGCGTTGGATGTCCTCACGGTATAAATGACATACAAGCAGAATCGCAGAAATGCCTACTATCTTATATAGAATATTCATGCAGCCTATTTTCATGCATAAAAATGTCATTCGATAAGACAACCGAACCAAACCTCACTTCTGTGCTTTTCAGAGAACTGCAAGAAAATTTTATATAACTGCTAAGGGGAAGTGTGTTTATAACGTATTTTTAAAATGACTTCTCAGGTTAACAGATAACAAAATGAAAGCACTACTCAGGAGTTAGAGTATATATTTCCTTAAATAATGAAACCGGTTTTGGAGTGTCCTGTGCTGTTACGCTGCACGTCCGTTAGAGATGCAGAGATTTCCAGAAAGACAGCTCAGCAGCTTGGCCTCGGAGAAAGCATGCAGGCTGGCTCTTGTTCCAAGGCCAGCAGCGAGCAGGTGGGTGTGGCAGCAATGCTCTCTCCTCATTGGCTGTGCTGGGAGCGGTCACGTGCCTTCGTTCTCACTCAGAGACTCACGTGATCTCCAGGTCAGGACTGCCTGTGCGTTAGTGAAGCGCCTCGTCCAACCTTGAGCAGGGTAAGCTTGAGTCTTGGTTTTTTTTCATTATTAGCATTTCCTTGGTATTAGACTGAAAAAGCTTTAGGTTAAAAGAAGCTAAGCATTTTATAAACTTTTAACAAAATAGTACCCTTACAGCAGGACACTTGCTTCTGGTAGATGTTAAAAACGACGTTAAGTAAAAAGTTCAGTGTGCACACCTAAGGAAACAACCAGAAATTCCAGAGGTAGGGAAGCATCATCTAGCTT